CCTGCTCGGTGGAGATGGGAAGAGAGCCTCAAGTGCTCGTCGGCCAAAGGTGGGCAGCATGGCGTGGATCGGTCCACAGGCTACCTGAGCTTGGGAACATATTCAGGCTGTAGTCTAGTCAATCGCAGTTCGCTGTTTTTAACATGATGGATCACTGCTCGCAAGGGTCGGTTTCACTTTCTATTTTTGTGAGTGCACGTGCGGATGTATGCCCGCCAAGCGCAGAGCCCGCTCCCTCCGCGTGCAATTGAAAAATTGGTTGTTGTCGTTGCCGCTGTTCTTGTTGTGGTTGTTGTGGTTACCGGGGTTGTTGTAATTGCTGCTGCTGCTGCTGCTGCTGTTGTTGTTGTTGTTGTTGTTGTGGCTGATGCCGAAAACCCGAACCCCTAGGCCCTAAACTCTAAATCAGAACCGTTGTCGTCGTTCCCATCGTCGTTCTAGTTGTTGTGTTTGTGGTTGTGGTTGAGGTGGTCGCTTTTGTTGCCACCTCTATCATGGCTACAGATTTCGCACCAGCACTCTTTGCATCTTCTCTTTTGGGTGTCTGCGAACGGAGCGAGCAAGCTTTAGGAACAGGGTGGTGCGCTACATGGGGTGCGGCAAAAGTCGCGTCAAAGCCGGGAACTCAGGTTCAGGGCCCCGCCGGGGTGGGATAAGGGCGTAGCAGCTTTGGTGTAGGTTTCATTCCAGGCTGGCAGGCCACGGGGCATGTGTGTCGGGGCTTTGTGTGCAAAGAGCTAATTGACAGTTAAGGCTTGGTGTTTGGAATTTGGATTCAGGGATCCATTACGTGGAAATGGCTGCAGCGTATTATGAACGTAGCGGAGTTGTGATTCGGTTCGAGCTTGCGCGGCAAGCAGAAGCATCAGCATCACAGCCATACCACAAGCACGCATAGCACGACCATATTGCGCAAACTTGTATCGATCACTGAATCTCGCCACAGTTGCAAAGCAGTATAGAGGTCCTTCCGAACAACTGCAGTTCAGGCCGAAGTAGCGCGCCTTAAGCTACTAGAGTATGCTGCAGTATTCCATGTATAGCATAAGCGAGTATCCTGCTCATCAACTTAATTATGTACTCTCCAGTGACTCTAGTGTGTCTATGTGAAGACTTGCCGGTCAACACTCAAAGTGGTAGTACATCATGGACCGGAGGTTGGTTCCAGTGCACGGGTACACCATGCAATTTTCGCATGCAGGACCCAGTTTTGTATAGCATAATCTGTCCCAAGTATGCGATAGTAAAGCCAGGTGGAGCCACCCGTCAGCCGGGTCGTCACGGAGGGTTGCCTCAGCGTCGGCGAGGAAGATGACCCCGAGCTGACGGACGCGTCGCCGCTTTGGGTATGGGGGCCTTGTGATTTTCGCTCTCAGGGTTTATGTTTCAAGGATTGGGTTCAAGGTAAATCTCAGGGTTTTTGGAGGAGTTTCAAGCAAGTTCTAGCTTGCCGTGCAAGGTGCGGAACTCGAAGGCGTAGCGTAGTTCAGATCGCCTGCAGTTCGGAGGAGTTGTCAGGAGAAAGTTGTGCTCCCGGCTGTGATCTTCAAGCAAATTCGTGACTGCCCGCCTGAAACCCTGAAGTTTGTCCCTGAGTAGCTAGGCAGATGATGCACACAAGATTGTCGCGGCCTGTTTGCGAGACAGGGTTTTCGTGGAAATGGTGCCGCTGTGCAGGTTGGGTGGTTAAAAAAACCCCAGTGGTCTAACCCCATGTTGTCCGTGCAAGGTCCCAAGATGGAGAAAACGCGAACTCCCGAAGCACGCCGATCCCTTGTGAGGACTTCCTGAACCAAATGTGCTCGGCACAGGGCATCAGCGACCGTTCCTGCAGGCTGCAGCTTGGAGCGGCTAAAGCCTTGCGGTGATTTGGGTCGGTTTGGGACGGCGGAGGCGGATTTGGGGCTGAAGTGCACAGGGTTGGTCCCTCGAAGACTTCTTCGCATGTTGCAGCTCGAGGGCGGATATATCAGCCGCAAAAGAGGCTCGCAAGCTCGTGTTTCAGATTCAGGACGCTCCAGGCCTATTGAGGAGTTCCTTGCAATTCCTGCATAGGGAAACCTCGTTTGATGCTCGTTGCAACATTTTAGTTCAAGCTTTCACTGAAAGCGCTGGGTTGAGTGAAGGGTTGGAATCACCAGCTCGAATCAACTTTAGTCACGGACAGCTTGGACCTGAGGCCTGTCCTTGTTGCCAAGGTACGGGCCCTTCTACGGGGTTTATAGTCATCTCGCTGAAGACTTGTTCGGCTATCACTCACTGAAGGCGCATCGCTTGTGCTTGAGAAGAGATCTGATTGCATCTGCTAGAAGCCCCTATCACAACCACCGACCAAACTCACCACAACTCCCAAGACTGAAGAGAACTTCAAACGAGCAAATATAGCTACATACGCTCAAATGCATGCCGCATGCCTATACATGTCATGTCCGATATCGTTGACGGTACTGCTACTGCCAGTGCAACCCTTCACGCACTGTAACCAGCTCTGTGATGTTGGCGATCTTGAGACTGCTTGACTGCAGACGGAAGCAGATGAAGCAATGTAGCTTGCGAAATACACATTTTGTTCGGGGGTGCGTTGCAACTTTTGAATCCACGACGTTTATGAAGTAAGAGATGTGGGATGCAGAAGTGTTCAGCCAATCAAGCATACTCGCCGTCAGAAGACAGGGTGCTCGTCGTCAGGAGAAGGTTCAGTTGTTTGAAATATTGATCAACTATGTTGGTGAAGTAGCTAGCAACCTCGAGCAAATTGACAGCGAGAGTTCGCATAGGCTTACAACTGGTAGGTAGCCAAAGGGTGCATTGTTCAGCAGTGTACTGTACAGGAAACGGAGCTGGTAGAACAATGCAGAAAGTTCGGAACATAAAACAGATGGGAATTTGCAAAGACGAACAAACACGTGGACTCTTGAAGACAAAGGTTATGAACGCATTACGCGAGATACCATATGTCACAAAGAGATGTCAGATAGCTTATGGAGTGAAGGGAAGACTGTGCGTTGAAGTTGTGGTGGCGCGGACATTAGACAGCGTAAGACGTGAAGCAAGCCCACAGTTATCCTATTCGCATCATTTCCCATTCAGGGTTACGCCCCTGTGGATGATTTGTTTGTTTGACTGGGTCGAGACTTGGTTCTGGATTTCTTTCAACACTTGATTTGGAGTTCGGTTGGGGGTTCTCATTTGGGAGTGGGGGGCGGTAGATGTTGGAAGGCGATTTGTGTCGTGCATGGTTTGACCTGGTTTTGTCATGAGGCTGCTTGAGAACCCCAGCTTTGCGTAGGAAACACCTCCCTGTGGGATCCGTCCCGGCACAGGAGAAGGAGGAATGCCTGGCCATCGCGGCGACTAACCTGGAGGACCTTGCACCACCTCCCTGGTAGACCTGTCGAAGCGATCGTCATGGTGGTATGTGAAAGAGCTGTGTCTTGTTTCGCAAGTGCGCGCGCGGGTAAAATCGAAATCGAGACTCGAACCCGAAGCCCGTGATGGCGATTGTAAGGACAATGAGTCAGAACTGTGGCTGCAGCTGCTGCTGCTGCTATTGCTGGTTGTCGTCGTTGTCATTGCTTTGCATCGATGGTCATTTCCAAGATCGCGCTTCCTGTCAACATCCCTGCGTGGCCAAAGCATCAAGCAACTCGTGCAGCAGCGCAGCAGCACAACCACCGTCAATGCAATCGTGGTTGGGCATGAGGACATGTGGGCTTGCAGACAAAAATGACGACTGCAGAATGGCGACCACCATCAAAATTAGCAGGAGCATAGCACAAGCTGCTCTTGACATGCTTGCGCATTCTCACTCCGAAATTGCCCAAGTCTTCGCCCTGCCCCGTTTCATGACGCGATCGTTGCTGCAACGCGATACATTGACGATACGTTATATTGACGTCAGCGCTTCTGGTTGTTGGTATCCCAGCAGCGAAGATGTCTGCCAGTTTTGCCATGCACCCCTGCCACGTATAGGTTTAGAGATAGATTTAGGTCGCTGTTCTTTATGCTCATGCAGACATCGCTTAAAGCCAGCAGCAAACCCTAAATCGTATTCGGTACTATCTGGGTCTACGTTTGTCCAGAATTCTAGATCTTGCCACAATCATTGTGGTACCAGATCGCATGTGGGGATCGATTTTGACGGTGGTGCCGTCCGTCCTGCCTCCAGCTCAGTGGTTCCCTGGGTGTCGTGGTTCGCGGTCCTGCTGCTCGTGGTCGTCGTGGTCGTGGTCCTGGGTGGTGGTGGTCATGGATGAGTCATGGAAGCCTGGTTGTGCTGGTTGTCTTGCCTCGTGGTTGTCTTTGGTCATGGTAGGTCTTTAACTGTTTCGGCATCTACCCTGACAGGATTTTTGTTATGCAGCCCAATGCAAGTAGTTTGCGTTTGTCATTGCTTGGTTTTGGTACGAGCATTGCAGCATTGCAGCATTGCAGGCATGACCATTGAATACGCACGATTCCTGGATCCTGAGCCATACGCCTACGAAGCAACGTTTAAACCCCGCGCTCTTCTTTCGCAGAACGCGGCTGCGCAAGAAGAGCAAGAAGCAGAAGCAGCGCCCACACCGAAGAGAGGTCGTTTGTGGGATGTGGTGCTATAGCAGGTCAAATGCATTTCGTGGGCTTGAGTAGACCGTTGGCACTAGTCAGTGACTAGGGCTTCATGCTTAAATTAGCTGGCAAACCGGACGGGTGAGCTGTCTTTATCCAATCCATTCCTGTAGTACTGCCTTACTGGTTGCTGCAGCTTAGCACAGACGTGTGAAGCTTCAGTGAGAAAGCGCCTGCAGGCAACCGTGGAAGGGGCTCTTTGCTGGAGGACGAGCGGGAGGAAGAGGACCGTCGTGTGATGGCGATGACAGCACCGATGATGACTTAGAAGGTCCCATGTAAGCCCTACCTTCACCTTGATTCGCCTCCAGAAGGACGAGCAAGAGGAGTGCGCCGATCCCCAGGCATCCTGTGCACTTGGGGGCTCATGTGGGTTTAGAGTTCAGGGCCTAGGCTTCGGCAAGGATTCACCGCCCTGGCCTGCTCGGAGAGAGCTAGAGGATGCCCCCAGGACCCAACGGCAAGGTTTCGGCTCCCGAGCATGGAATTCTCCGCCTCTCATGCCGAGGCCACGGCCTTCATTGGACAGGCGAACCGCGCTATGGCTGCAGCTCGATGGCACTTGGCACCCTTGCGTGTCTTGGAGTGGAGGTGTGGGGTTTAAAGCTTTGGGACGACTGGAGCTCCGGGATCTCGCCCCTCGTCCATGCCAGAGAGGGAGCGAGAGAGTGAGAGATGGTGTCCCTGAGCTGGGAACCTTGGCCAGGAGTATATCTATGGACTGACGCCGCCTCTGTCATACTCGAAGTCCCGGGCGTGGAGCAAGAAGGAGACGAAGCTTAAAGAGACAAGCCATGAGCCCAGCACTCGTCCAAGACACCGCAATTTTCTGGGTTGTTCGGGCTTCATAAACCTGTTTTTCCTACTGCGAGGATACAAAGGCTTCCAAGGTGTTTCAGGGACAGGTTCCCTGGGGTGTAAGGTGGGCTTCGGGATTTGGGGCGTTGGGGAGGGCTCGAAGGCGATGCGGGGGTCGGGCTTGAAGGTCAGGCAGGCGCCTCGATGGATATCTGTTCATCCTGTACGCAGCTGTGCTGAACCCGAAAACCGAAACAAAACCCGAGAAAGTGGTTTTGGAAGCTGTGACCATCTTCAAAGCTTCGAGGATCTATGAAGAACCCACGGCCCAAGCCAAGAAAAACACGTCCTATTTCAAAGCGACAGCAAGGCTGGGACCCGAAGACGATGGACTGGCCGCTCCCGCAGGCCCCGGGCCCGAGTTTGGGAAGCGTTGTGTAAGCGGATGCGTAAAATGAAGATAACGCATAGTAAAGTACTCGTAGCGAGATAATCCTCTGATTCTTGCAATGTTTGCTCCAGAGCCAAAAGCCCAGCCCAGACCGAACCAACACTCAGTATTCCGACTGCTGATTGCAAGTCCGAGGACCGACAGCTGGATCCACCCCTGTCGGAGATCTTGCGTGAGGCAGGAGCTAGAGGATTTGGAGTAACAAGGTGTCTCCTGCCTCCAAACTTAGCTCGAATCAAAAGGTCGAGTTTGCGGGTTATATATACAAGTAACCTAGGTCAGAATACTACTCAAGGCAATAAGAATAGCGAGTGGAAAGAATACGGCTTGCTAGTTACGATTTCCGAGTCTGCTACTACTACTACTACTACTACTACTACTACTACTACTACTGCTAGTACTACTACTAGTACGCCTGTTTCTACGACTGTTACGACGACAACGACGACGACTGCTGGTACCGCGTCCTCCGACTAAAGCCACTACTGACGCTGCTGCAGCATAGGCGATACTAGCGCAAAGAGTGGTGATGGTGGCAGAGGAGCAGCAAGTAGTAGCAGCAGTAGTAGCGCCAGCAGGAGGAGAAGGAGGAGGAATCCTAACAACAGTAGCAATGGCAGTTGGAGTAGGAGTGGGGGCAGGAGCAGAAGCAGGACGAGGAGCAGGACGACGAGGAGCAGGAGGAGGAGCAGGAAGAGGAAGAGGAGAAGGAGGAGCAGGAGGAGCCGGAGGAGGAGGAGGAGGAGGAGGAGGAGGAGGAGGAGGTGGTGGTGGTGGTGCAGCAGCAGCAGCAGCAGGAGCAGGAGCAGGCGCAGGCGCAGGAGCAGGGTCAGGAGAAGGAGCAGCAGTAGGACGAAGAGAAGGAGGAGAAGTGGAAAAGAAGGAGAAGGGGAATGAGAAGGATAAGGAGATAAAGGATGATGATGGTGAGGCTGATGCTGACGCTGACATGATGACGCTGACGCTGACGCTGACGCTGACGCTGACGCTGACGCTGACGCTGACGCTGACGCTGACGCTGACGCCGCTGCTGCTGCTGCTGCTGCTGCTGCTGCTGCTGCATATGTCGTAAGATCACTAAATCATGTCAATGCGTGGCCAGGCGGAAGCTGGAGAGGGCCTCATGATGATTAGTTACGGCTACTCGGGTGCCGGCAAGACGACGACTCTGCTGCTTGTGGGCATTATTTGAATGTAATCCATGGTTCAGAAGCGGTCGTCCCGGCTGTCGACGTTATCTACCAAATCCAAGCAAGCCTGCACTGTGGTTGAAATCTAGATCCGGGCTTGTCACAGGTTCCACAAGTCCGAACAGCGCTATCATGAGCCTTACTGTGACAGATCTTGTTCGGCGTAAACAAGTCCCGAGGATCGGCGATGCCACCGCCCCGCTCGGCGGGGGTCGGGGCATTGACGGTGTACTCTCAGTCTACCTCAAGGAGAGAGCGCTTTGGGGGCTTTGATGTTTTCGGGGTCGCTGGTGCTGAGGTTGGTGATGCTGAAAAGATTGGACAAGATGTTACGTGTAGGATGGGGTTTAGGACGTTGTTTGGGACATTTTGGGCTTCAAAAAACTTCCCTGCGTGGGCTTTGAATGTGAGCACAGGAGCCCCCGGTTTCACAACACTGGATAAGAACCGGCTAGAAGGCTTGCAGGAGGATTTCGTTTGGAAAGCGTTTGTTTGCCTCTGCATCACTATCAGCCCCCGGCCTTGAAGTAGAAACCGGGCGAGCCGAAGCTACGCTGGCAAGCTTAGGAAGGCATTTGCTTGGGGAATCACACTTCGAACAGATCCGAGACATGAGAGCGGGTTCCGAACTGCGGCAGCTGATTATATCTGGTTGCGGTAGACACCATCGATAATGTTTTGAGTCTTGACCCTGTAGAGAGGGATCCTCTCATGGCTTCGTGTAGGGCAGGTAGTAACGTAATAGCAGAGACAAAGAAACTCCACGGTGCTTCTGAGCTCGACAGTGCAGGTTACTTTCGGTTTAGTATCCCGTGCGGTCATCTTGTTTCTGGCTGCGAAACTCTGTGGTATCCTCACCTACGTGGTCAGTCATTTGTGCAGTTTTCTTCGTTGCCCCGGTGCTGAGGGTCGCCCGTTGTCGTCGTACTCTTACACTTTCAGCTGTTGCTGTCTCTTGCAATGTTTGCGTTGCTGTCTTGGCGGGCACTTCAAGCCTTGGAGCCACCTGTGTTGCCTTCTGTAAGGGCGGGGTGTCCGGGGCATCATGGAGGAGCAACGACCTATCATCACGAAATCTCAACCATGTCCACCGGTCTCAAAAACATTCTCTCGGTTCGAACTCCCGGAGCACCCTTCTCCCCGAATCAGCCAGGAGAACGCCCACAAAATCGATGATGTGAAGGTGAAAATCTTCGAGGCCGCCAAGTTACGGCCGAGAATGGCGCGCGAGACAGCGTGATGAGGAGTGATGCTGATGTCAACGATGACGACGATGGTAACGAAGATGGCGCTGATGACGTGGTGGTAGTTGCAAGTTGCATGAGTCAGTGGTCTTCCGTAGTCGCAGCAGCAGCAGCAGCAGCAGCAGCAGCAGCAGCAGCAGCAGCAGCAGCAGCAGCAGCAGAAGCAGTTACTGTAGCAGCCGGAGCCGGAGGAGGAGGAGCAGAGGCGCAGCAGCAGCAGTAGCAACAGCAGCACACAAGCAGCATAAGCCTTACGCCTTACGTAAGCTGCAGCGGAGGGAGCAGCGCACTAGACATGGCAGTACTGGCCCGTGGCCGCAATAAGAATCAAGAATCCACACTTTCATTGTCGGCATCATCACCATCGTCGTCGTCGTCATCTTCTGCGCCCCTGGCACCGACACAGGCACCGGTACCACCACCACCACCTCATCGTCATCGTCACCGTCAGCGTCATCCTCATCATTATCATCATCGTGATCATCATGATCATGATCATCATCATCGTCGTCATCATCATCGTCATCATCATCACCATCATCATCATCATCACCAGCATCACCATCATCACCATCATCATCATCATCATCATCATCCTCGTCGTCGTCATTTTCATTGTCACCATCGTCCTCATCATCAACATCAGCATCCCATCATCATCATCAGCAGCAGCAGCAGCAGCAACAGCATTCTTCTATTAGACACAGAGCACAGTGGGTCAGATGGAAGTCCCGTCGGAAAATGGTCCGATCTCCAGTTCTGCCCAGGTCTATGGCCGAGTCAGCACACAGACCGGCCATATGAAGAAGAACACGGGATCTGGAATCTGGGCCTACAAGCTGAAAGAGAAGGTGCTGTTCTCAGACGAGACACCTACAAATTGTGCGGTCGTGCATTTCCATATCCCCGACCGACTGCAGGTCGCACAGTACCTGGGAACTGCCGAAGCCTTCATGGTTTCCGAGCCAGATCAGGATGATGATGAGTGGTATCTTGGCCGTTGGCTTGATCCAGCTTGCCCTTCAAAGCATTGGCGGGAAGGGAGGGTGAAGGGGGCGGGGAAGTTTGCAAGCTGCACCTTGGCTGACCGACCTTGCATCTGATCCACTGCTTAAATGCGTTGCCGAGTTGAGGTTTGGCAGGATAACGGATAACAAGCTTGTGAAGATTGTTTCAGTCATCATAACAACAATAGTAATAATAATAAAGCTAGAATCATATGCTACTAGCACCACCACCACCACCACCACCACGACTGCTACTGCTACTGCTACTGCTACTGCTACTGCTACTGCTACTGCTACTGCTACTGGTACTGGTACTGGTACTG